GCATTCATCTACTACACAAGCTCTTGCCGCGGAACTTTTACATATTCACCATCTTGCCTCTTCCCATGGGTTTCTGAGACTTGCGCATAAATTGATAGATCGCTTTCACTTCACACACTCGCAATGCACCATCACGACCGACCACCAGAACAACAATCCCCCTGACATGGTACAACAGGTCCCTAGCCCTCTCCACGAGGTACTGTACAACAGGTCCCTATCACGTACAATCTGTACCTAAAAACACTCTATACCGAGATCACCAAGAAAAGAGGTATACAGATCGCATACAGATGTCCTACCATCTTTGTCATCCTTCGCAAAGGAAAAGACCCCACCAACCAGAACAGACTCCCTGGTGTATATAGTATTCCTATTAAGGACAACAGGTTTGATAGGGACCTTGTTTACATCAGATCCACAAAACGCTCTGTAGAAGTCAGAATACAGGACATTATGGCGGCATTCCACCAGGTGAAACTTGTACACACTATGTCACACAATGAACACCTTAAGTGGTTTGAGACCATTCAAATTTACAAATCATCCCTCAATGACAACTGCATCAAATTTAAGGATGAGTTAGTTCTGTTGCCGGCCTGGCAGGCGTTGATGGACTCTGAACTTTAAGGTCACAGTATGTCAACTAGACGAACACACGTCTCATGTAACACCTAATTGTTTCTCGAATTTCCTTTAATGGTTCGCTCTGTCCCATCAGTAATTCAGTTTTGCACTTGAGGAAGAACTTGCAGCAGTTTGAAATGTTTGTGGTGATCTTTATCCTTTATTTTTATATNGGAAAAACTAGAAATTCACAAGGCGCAAATGCACACAAGCTGTATTAATCATAGGGATGCTGACGGATTATCGTCGGCATGGAAATCCTTCTACGATGAGTGACGTAATGTAAGCGGGAAGATTATATAAGATAATTTTTATTGGATGCATATAATTTATTTTATTTCTTTTATAATTCTTAAGATTATTTAAACTTGGTAAATGTTAACGTATTTACATATATTTATGTAATCGCTTTTTGAATTTCGTTTTACGTAATTTTCGAATTTCTTCGTTCGATTCACAAATGTTAACTGATGATGATCGCTTAAAGCGTTCGAAAGCGTTTTTAAATATTAAAAAACGATTTGCTGGATGTTTAAAGGTGTTGATTTTTATTTATTGTGTGGTTCCAGTAAGGAAAGTATTTTATTTGTTCTTTTAAAATTTCCTACATTTCACTTCTATAGTATGTCTAAGTTTGTTTGTTATGTTAAGTTACGGCAATGCAACAGGCCGCATTTCTTTATGTAGTGCTCAAGAAGCACTCTACACCAAACACTCTGAAACTCATTTCTAAATGCAGCACTACAGTGTAGCGAACCATTTCTAAACATTTGCTGAAAGAGGTTGCTGCAGCAAAGATAAAGCAACTTTTATGTCCTCTACACGTGTAAAGCAAAATGGACACTTGTGTGTATAATATGATGTTATGCTGTAAAAATAAAAAAGTTGAAGTGACTGTTGATAAAAATATTATGGAAAGATTAAGAAGGATTAAATTTTATAAAATGACTCTGAAAGTTATCTAAAGAATAAGAAAATACTATATTTTAAATATAATTATATATCTTCTATCTCTTTACTTTGTTCACATTTATGGAAAGATGAATGCTCAATTCTTTATATCTCTTTATTTAAATATTGAAGTTCTTTACTTTTGGCAGTTACAGCAAAAAGCATTACTTTTGGCTGTAACTGGAATTAAAGGATAGATTATGGCGTCCATGTTTTGCTCGAGTGGAAAGCGTTTCTACACTATGATGCAGTGATGTGTATCAATAGCTGCTCATGACGTCATTTTCACTACATTCTTGCTGCATAAAGAAACATGGCCACACTTAGGCAATCTGCCTGGGGGGATGCCTTCCAGGAGGTCATTTTAAGGGTAACTGGCCCCTATTCAGGTGTTAGACATGGAGAAAACCTGGAAAATTCCATGTGGCCAGCCTGTCCTGGTGAGGCATGAATCCACAACCAAACTTCCAGTGTTCATGGAACAGAACCATTTGGCTACTGATGGGGCCACCTTTAAGTTGGATATAATTCCTCAGTTCTATGGCTGAATGTATTTGTAGAAAAAATATTATTTTAATGTTCTTTAATGGCATATGGTATAGCATATTCATGTGCTATACAATTTTCTATCAACAAAACAGTTTTTTATTTCAAGTTTATATCACATTAAAACATCTAGAATTTTAGAATTTTTACTTTTTGCAATCATTAGAAGTCTATTTCTGGCTTTGCATATTAGCAGAGAAGAGAACTATATTTTTCTTCAGTGATTTAAATCCTTTAGCACTTTTATGATTAAACTTATAAGTACAATCAGATATTGCACAAAAATAAAGTGCTGTGTTGTCTGCATTTTAGATATTCTTTGGTGAATATTCAGCAATAATTCTGTCTTTATCCACAATTCAGTTGATAAAAAAATTGGGACTTTCTTCTCACCAAAGGTGCATTTGTGTTTAATGTTTCCATTGGTTGAGCCATCAATTAACTTCAATAAAATCTTTTTGATATTTTTAGCTAATTTTTTCACTTTACAATGAATTAGTAGCTCATTAACATGTGCATTTTTTCACTAACATTACCAAACAAAAGGTAATGAAATTCACTGTTTTTTTTAACCAGTTTGATTTCTCTTGCAAATTAGATTTATTTTTTAGCTGGTATTTTAATATTTAATCTGTTTTTCTAAATCTTGCACAAAACTGGCTGTGAAATAAATTGACCCATTTTTTTTTTTTGGCGACTTAAACTTGAAATTAACTACACTACGTTATCAATAAATAAATAAGCAATTACCTATAACCAGCATTAATTCGCTTATAAATAAACGTTTTCTTTCGTCTTTATCAGTCATCATCTGGTTTCTATGCTTTGGAATGTCTGTAAAAGAACACATCTTTAAAAAATTAAAAAATTGCTTGTCTTGAAGATGCACGCATGCTCAATGTAGCTCTTTAAAAAATGAGTCATCAAACTGGCTTCCTATTTTAAAAATTTGATGTTTATATAAATTATAAAGATAATCTTGATGACGATCTATTTTTACATCAAAATACGCCCTCCACGCAGCCGCCAGTGAGCCCATTTCTTTAAAATTGATGGCTGTTCCTCTCTTGAACGCTTTAAAAATCTCCAGCTGTTTGAGATATTTTAGGCTGGCCTGGTCCTCGCATCGTTGCAGTAATCGTGCATTATCAAAGTCCACCCTGATGTTGTTATCAATGGCGTAAGAAGCAATGCTGTAGTGGAAAGACCTTTTTGAATGGAGTATTTATGTTTCTTGATCCTTGTTTTAAGGCAACGTGTGGTAGCACCAATATATTTGTCATGACGGTTTGCCCTATGATCGTAAATATGGATAGAATATACACCAGGGATATTATTTCAATCCATTCGGTCCTTATAATTTCTTAAACAAGAGAGAACCATTGGAGATCTTCTGTATGCGATCCTATTACTTGTAAAGCAGGCTATTTATTTGTAGGTGTTGGTAAGGATCTTGCTGTAAGTAATATGCAAAAAGGACTTGTCTCCTGTAAATGCTGTTTCTGCTGGTTATTCCTGATATGCAACCAGATCATTAATTTTTCACTTTCACTACAGCATTGGCTTCTTATGCCATTGATATTTTAGGTTGGCCTGGTCCTCGCATCATTGTAGTAATCGTGCATTATCAATGGACTGGAATCGCTGGAAAAGAGTTAGGTACATTGTTGTTTAAAAAGAATCCCTACTCAAAAAACGAATGTGGTACTCTTGACACCAAAGTCCATCCTGATGTCATCATCAGGGTGGACTTTGATAATGCATGATTACTACAACGATGCGAGGACCAGGCCAGCTTAAAATATCTCAAACAGCCGGAGATATTTAAAGCATTCAAGAGAGGAACAGCCATCAATTTTAAAGAAATGGACTCACTGGTGGCTGCGTGGAGGGCGTATTTTGATGTAAAAATAGATCGTCATCAAGTTTATCTTTATAATTTATATAAACATCAAATTTTTTAAATAGGAAGCCAGTTTGAAGACTCATTTTTTTTTTAAAGAGCTACATTGAGCATGTGTGCATCTTCAAGACGTGCAATTTTTGAATTTTTGGAAGATGTGTTCTTTTACAAACATTCCAAAGCATAGAAACTGAATGATGACCGTTAAAGACAAAAGAAAACTTTTGTTTATATGATAATTAATGCTGGTTATAGGTAATTGCTTATTTATTTATTTATTGAATTCTACACCAGTAATATCATGAGGATTATACTATGTTATCTTTAAAGGAAAAAAAAATCTTTGCTTATCTTATTTGTTTCTTTCCATTATACTAAGAGGTACAATACAGTTCTGTACTTTAAACAGTAATGAATATCAGAGTTTTCTACTACGACAACAAACAGCTAGGCTATAAATGAAATATAATTGCCAGAAATCAAAATTTAAACTACAGTACTGTGTACAATACTTAGTGCAAGATTAAACTGAATGCTTATTTGTTAAGAGTAAACATTTTGTATGTTTGAATGATTTAATTTAGATTGATTAACTGTTGTGCTAACATTTTTATTAGAACAACATGGTTTATAACTTATGTCTTGTCAGTTGGCTGTTATTAATTGGCTAAGAAAGTTTAAACTTATAATCATTATTATGTTTATAACAAGTGAATTTCTGATTACAAAAAGCAGAAATGAAGAAATTACATAATGCTATTTAATTTATGTTTTGGAACATTTTGATTGTGATATTAGATGATTGATAACAATATCTGAAATTACAATAAGCAGTATCTACTGTATAAACAAATACTTGTGTAATTGTGCATTAAACATTTTACTAAATGTAATGAATTTAGTGTAATATTGTTGATAATTTACTGTATTAAATATTAAATTGTTTTTTTAAATGTTGTTTATTACATTTCAGTTTCTGCTGCTGACATGGATCAAGGGAAAAATTCTGAAATTGAATATTCTATAGATAAAGATGAATTTACAATTGATAATAAAGGCATTATTCGTTCCAATAAGAGACTTGATGCAGATATTATGAATACATATGTTTTAACAGTCAGAGCTACAGATCAAGGAGATCCTCCTTTAACTGGAACAGCAACAGTACGAGTTTATACAGAAAACAAAAATGATGAACCACCAAAATTTAGCCAAGATGTATATACACCCAACGTAGATGAAAATGCTGGTCCTAATACATTAGTTACAACAGTGGTTGCAAGTGATATTGATGGTGATAGTATTATTTTTGGTTTTGTTGGAGGAGGAACAATTTCTGGAATGTTTCAAATAGAAGAAAGAACTGGTAAATTGTTGGAAAAAATTTTATATTAAGTATTTTCTAACCTTTCTTAAAATTAATTCAATAAAATTGTTTAATAGGAGTGATTAGACTCATAAATGGGCAAATACAATTAGATAGAGATAAATATGAGCTGAATGTGACAGCTAGAGATGATGGATCATGTTGTAAAGGAGGAGGTTTGACAACTCACACAAGTACTGCCTTAGTTGTTGTATTTATTACTGATGTTAATGACAACAAACCTGATTTTGAGCAATGTGCTACTTATGCGCCAAAGGTTGAAGAAGGAGCTCCAAGTGGAACATTTGTCATCAAAGTAAGGACTTTTATTTAGATATTAACAAATTTGGTGATTAACAAATTTTAGTTTTTTCATGCTTTTTTTTTCAGTCTTAAATTTTGTGCTTAATTGCTCCATTATATATAAAACATATCCTGTTCATTTATAAAAACAAAATACATTTTAGATATTTAAAAGTTGTGGAAAATAATTTTATTTTTTATATATATACTGTATATAAAGGATGCTAATTTATCTTTTAAAAGAAACAAAAAAGAACACATTATACTGGATGACATATAAATCACTATAAATCTATTCACCAGTGTTGGTAACACATACATGTTTCAAATTGTGTTCATCAATGAAACAGTGAGATTCACCCAAAGCAGGACTCTGGGATAGCATGAAAATGTTTGTGCAATTTGTGTGTTAACAATATCAATCAATAAATTTATAGTGTGATTTATACTTTTTTAATATTTATCTTGTTTAGATTTATCTTGTAATTAGACAGTATATAGTATCTAGGAAACTCTTTTTTGATTTAATTTGGATAATGAAATTTTTTCCAGACTTCCTGATTTGTCTCATTTTTCCCATTTTTCCCATGTACAGTATATTATTAAATACAGTAGAGAATCGATTATCTGACTCCCGTTAACTTATGACTCCCGATTGGTTAACTGACCGTTCTAGTCAGCAAATTCAAATGTCCGCTAGTGATGTGGCACTACAATATTTGGCTATGTCTTGGCTACTTTAATAGTATTTTTACGTGTTTTAGCTGGCAACATGGCTCGACAATGAAAGGGAGCCAGTATTTAAACGAGGCTTAATTTTCTAATTTTTAACGATANATATATAATACACAAACAAACAAGGGGCAAGAACTTATACTGGAATAAATGTAAATAATGTAAATAATACCTTTAACCATCCAGCAATAAAAATGTTTAATATGACAAAAACATTTTCAACTGTTTTTTTTTAAAAGGCCATCTTTAATATTGGTTCAACTGAAGATGGCTGTTAAAAAAATGGTTGAAAACGTTTTTGTCATATTAAACATTTTTATTGCTGAATGGTTAAAGGTGTTATTTATATTAAACAAGGGACAATCAGAAAGTCCCAAATTTATCTATGGAAGACAAGATTCCACTGATGTAAACTGATAAGATGATTTAAAGTGGCAAAAATATTTTATTTTTTCACATGGTTCTCATTATGGTTGATTTGCCACAGTGTGGAATAAGTTTTTCCAACCATTATGCATAGAAGTCTAGGCCCTGTTGTTGTAGCCATGTTCTTGGAGTGCATTTGCCCTCATCATCACATACAAAGTGGCGACTCGCCATTTGCTCCTTTAAGGCAGGGAACAGATGAAAATTGCTAGGTACCAAATTTTGGCTGTAGGGTGGATGCTCCAAAATGGTCCCACTGGAAGCTATGCAGCAAGTTCTTTGTGCTCAGTGCAGTGTAAGATTGGTGTATTTGTAGAGGAGGATCACAAAGTATGTCATAAAATCAGGACACTTCTTCCTGATGGCTTCTTGCAATTTCTTCAGGGTTGTGCAGTATGTCTTACTGTTTGTGGTGCATCCATGTTCCAGAAACTCAACCAACAACACATTTGATGCATCCCAGAAGATAGTTGCCAGCACTTTGCCAGCAGAAGGCATCATAGTGAACTGGGAGGTTTCCATTTGATCATTGCTCTTTTACTGCTTTGAGTAAAATAATGAACCCAAGTTATGTCACTGGTAGCAATGTGATTCAAATGGTTTGAACCTTCTACCACATATGTCTGCAGTACAGTTAAAGATACCTCTTGCTTTTCTTTATTGTGTTCTGTTAAACACAGGGTACCCATTGTATACAGACCTTTTTGTAAGACAAAAACTATCTGCAATTTGTTGCACAGTGCCTTAGCTCAATTCAAGAATAAATTCAATATGTTGCAAAGTTATGAGTTTATCTTCTTGAATGAGTTCATCTACAGATGCACAGTTGATATCAGTTGATAGCAAACCAGATCATAGTGACCTAGTTTAGCAGTGTTTATGCTTTTCCTGATATTTCTAAACACCCAATACCATATTTCCATACTTATTGTTTTGACATCACATTGTCTCCATACTTTTGTATAAGCTGTTGATGAATATTGGCTGCTGATTGTCCTTATGCCTGAAGAAAGCAAATGACTGTGTGAACTTTGTGGGAACATTCTCTAAACAGACTGAACTTGAACTGCCACTGCACATCCTCATAACTGAAACATCATGTTACCCATCATTCCATTTAACAACTGGTTACCTTAGGAATAACAAGTGTCAATAGTACTTACAGTAGTGTGTATGTATATATATATATATATATACACACTACTGTATATATACTGTATTAATATATATATATTAATTAAGCAGCAAAACTTATTCAGATTGCCCCTTGTCATTCGCACGTGTGTGTGTATATGTACAGAGTTGTCAAGGTAATTCAAAGCAAATACTGAGTAATCTTTTGAAAAGTCAAGTAGAATTAATAGACCTTGTTGCAAATTTTTATAAAATCCTATTTAAAGAAGAGAGTTTGTTACATTTTTACAAATCTCTGCCAGAAGAGAGTTTTAAATCTTAAGAAGTTTTGTAATGGGATATTTTCTACTTTTACTTTAATGCATTTTGTGAACAAACTTTTTGAAAATAAAATATATAAAACCAAAATATCAAACATTACTATGCAATGAGTATCTAAAAGAGATTGATATTGGGTGCCACCAGATTATCCCTAATTTTGATGATCATCATTCAAAAATGCAGTTGCAAATTTTATGTTGATTTATGTCTATTGTTATTCAGAAATAAAAAGTTCTTATTCTTGTTTTTTGTACTTGGCTCCAAGACTTGCCTTTTACAGTTCATGTGGCCACTTTCAGAAAAAGGTTGGTGATTCCTGATGAAAGCTGTTGCAAAAATTTTGATACTTATGTCTTTTGAATATTTGATAAGGAATTGATGTAATGAAATATTCAAAATATTGTCATAAAAAGTATTCTGTAATCACATACTGTGATCTTATCTGCTGATTTATTTTGATAGACATGTAACATATCTTGATTTATAATAAGTCTGAGTTTTTCCAAGTACATATTGTTTTGCTCTGAATAAAAAAACTTAAAATTTTATTTTTTCATATTTGTATTCATATTTTTTATTTAAATAACTTCATTTTTTTTTAATGAAAAGTTTTTTCCAGAACTGAACAATTACTTGCAATTATAATTTAGCACTGCCTCATAAATGCACAAAACAAATTTTAAACATTAACTCATTAATATCTGATTATTTCATTCTTAATTAACATATTCATATTTTTATTTCATTTAATTCTTAAACCATTTTCTATTTTATTAAAATAATCTCTCTGAAATTATCTATCTGAAACTGTATTTTATTAAAATACAGTTTCAGATTAAATAAAATAATAAATAATTATTATTTTATTAAATTTACAGAAATAGTAATTTTTCAAGATCAATAGAATTCTAATATACAGTGGGTGATTGGTTAACGAACAGATCAGTTAATGAACAAATCGGATAACGAACACTTTCGCGAAAGATTTTGATGATCGGACAACGAATACATGTTCGGATAATGAACACTTCACTGAACAAACACAAGAAGCGACACAAGAAGCGATGCAAGAAGCGATGTAAAATAATGAATACCGATTAGTCTTCCTTTATCTTAAGGCAACAATTCAAAACTTTTCGGAGCGCGGGAGATGTCAACATCAACGTTGTACCCAGTATTATACTAATCGGATAGTATTCCCCCGAACTTTGCAACTCTCCCTTGTAATTCCAGCCTTTTATATTTTAGACAGAAACAGTTCTTTTATATTTTTATATTTCTGACAGAAACAATTATTTTATGTATTATTCTGAAAATGCGGATTTATGTCAATATCTGCTATTAAAGATCTTTTGAAGAAGTGGGAGGATGTCAGAACAACGGTCTTAAAATGGCATTCAAACCAGGTTGAGGTTAATAGGCCTAGGGAGCTCTACAATTACAATGCTATTAATTACTTCTGAAAAATCATGAACAAGACAGAAAAGCAATTGACATTGGACAGATTCTTTAACCCCCACAAATGGAAAAACAGGACTAATAAAAATGCAAGACCGTGTATATATGTATTTTTATTATTACATATGAATAAATGTAGTAAGATATATAAAAGTATATATTTTTTATTTTTTGGAGGGTCTCCAGAACGAATTAATCAAATTTCCATAGAAACCTATGGTAAATCGGTTAATGAACAATTTGGATAGCGAACAAAGTCTTGGAACGGATCATGTTCGTTAACTGATCACCCACTGTATTTAAGTTTGTTGTTGAGTATCATAGAAGTGTGATCAGATAAATTTAAATATTTTTCATCATAAATTATTTTATTCATAAAATTTGAAATTTTTTTTTTCAAGTTTAAATGATGATTCCTTTCTAGAAAGAAAACAATTTAGGCAATTAATTTAGACATTAATAGACATTAATGTTATTTTAATATCATTTTCTTTAAGACTCACTATAATATATTTCAAAANAATTTCAAATGTCCGCTAGTGATGTGGCGCTACAATATTTGGCTATGTCTTGGCTACTTTAATATTATTTTTACGTGTTTTAGCTGGCAACACTCATTCGACCATGAAAGGGAGCCAGTATTTAAATGAGGCTTAATTTTCTAATTTTTAACGATACAATAGTGACAATTATTATTTTAAAAAAATTTTTGTTAGGCTTAACATCGATGAAAATTCAACGCGAAGTAGGTTAATAGCGATATACTAATTACATGAGATATACTAATATACTAAAATTTAGCCAAGATGTATTTTTTACTATACTAATAATGTATTTTTTCATATTTTTCGGTTATCCATTTTTTAAGTTATCCGACCAACCAGTCCCCAATTGAGTTGGATAATCGATACTCTACTGTATTTAGTTTTCAAAAATGATCTTTTCAGAGATAATCCATAAAATGAAATTATTTTTAGTAGTACATCCATAGTTAGTACTAGTTAACTGGTTTTATGTATAAACAAATATGCTTAAGAATATGATTAAAAATTGCAGCCCAGCATTGTGATGATGTCACAATAAATAATTGCTTTAGGTTCTTGTGCTGTTTTAAACGTAAAAAAAATTTTAAATAAAATCAGAAAATATAACACTATTTTCTAATTTTAATGTAACTTGTAATCTAAATGTTCCAGCTGTTGAAGTTTTCACTAGATAAGCTAAATGGAACCATATATTATAAAACACTATTTTGAATATATAAATATCTGAACAGCAATTAAGTTCTAGCCAAATGTGAAAAATCAAACTTCTAGATTTTTAGATCATTTTTATGCTGATTTACAGAAATATTCATATAAGCAACAACTCCACAAACCCTATATTTTTATTAAAGCCAGATTGCCAAATTATTTCGATATAATAAAACTAAGTTAATAATTATATATGAAGTAATTTGTCTAGAGGTAGGCAGTTAAGCTACCATCTCATAATAATTTTAATAATTACAATAAATTATTGTTAATTTAGAATTTCTAGAAGAAAATACTTGGCCTGGAGCAAGACACGAAATCACATCTTCTGCTAATATTCATATACAGTTGCTTCCTGTTTAATAACTATTTGAAGAATGGTTATTTATTTTAACAAGTACCATCTTAAGGTTTTAAATTGAAAAATAATTTATTTATAGATGATTATAAATACTTCTGTTGATGAATAGAATATTATAATATAGTGTAGTAATGACAGATTACAAACTTAGTGTCTTTTTGAGGGTAATCTAGTTAACTTGAGTGCTAAATTTATATACTATGTTAGTCCTAAATAATTTTTAAATTGTATTTTCTATTAGATGCTTGCTATATTCTAGAATGTAATTCTGGATTTGATTTTAATTGCAATTTGAAGATGGCTGATGAAAGCAGCTGAAAACATTTGTTCTGTTATTATTAACATAATAATCTCTAGCAATGTTTTGATTTTATACAATAATTTTAACAATGATCCTTGAAAATTATTTTTTGATTTTGTTAAACTTATTGTGACCATTAATAAATTTATATTTCTTCATATGCAATAAAACAAACCATAACTATATATATATTATTTTTCTTGTAACAATAACTTTAACATTTTATTAATAAAGTATTGGTTATATTTGGTATATACATAGTTGTTTATATATACTTAATTAAATTATATAAGGAACATATTACAGTCGACCCTCCCCATAACACTGTTGATTTTTCCTTTTTATATGAATTCCATGCTGTACGAGTCACTTAGATTTTACAACATGGAATTCATATAAAACGGGATTATCAACAGTGTTATAGGGGGTCGACTGTATATTGTTTTATTTATTATAATTTATAGAAAGAAGTAGTATAATAACTTTTTATCAATTGCAAAAATTGTTTCTGAAAATTTAGTTTAAGTATGTAGGAAAAATCCCCAACATAAGAGTTTCTATTTCTTATGGGAAAAAGGATTGGAGCACTTGACTTAACATATCTATTTCATCTAAGACTTGATTCTTTAGCAATTACTAATAATCAATTCTGACTTTTGTAAATAAATAAATAGATTAGGGATAATAAAATCTCTAAGTTTTGTTGATACAAAATCAATATGCAGCTTCATGAACTCATTCAATCTGACAGTAAATAACAAATAGAAGCAATCAAACATTGGTTATTTTTATTTAAAAACAATATATTATTTTTTACAAATGCTTTAGCTTATGAACCTAAAATTAAAAAAATATTAAAAACTGGACATAAAAGGTAATTCTGCAACTGGCATTTATTTATTTATTTATTTAAAGTAGCCACAGTTCTGCTTTAGTCATTTAGTGTCATATTGATATGAAATATCATATTGATATTGATATGAAAGCCTTCTATATGCTTTTACTAATTAAATTACACAATCCATAAATTAGTTCAGCATCATCTGCCATTTATACATTCTCAAATACCCAGCTTTATTGATAATTGCCATTACTTGATTTAGCCAAATGTTGTGACAAAATTGTCATATTTGGCAGATTTGCTTATTTTAATTGGAGGGATAATGCTTTATACAAAAAAGCATTATTCTTTTTAGGTTTAGTGATAATTTTATATTTTACAAAAAAAAAAACTGACAAATATATCAAAATCTGATCTGTGATGATAACGAATTGGTATATAAAAATTTAGTTGCATGAGTCTGTGATTGCAAAGGAATTGTATTTCTTCTAATCTCAACTTTATTAAAAATTCTTTTATTTACAATTTTAGGTAAAAGCAATGGATCAAGATAAAGGTCATAATGGACAAGTTCGCTATTCAATAGTGCAACAACCAAATCAAAGAGGAACAAAATTTATAGTTGATGAAATATCTGGAGAAATTCGAACAAACAAAGTGAGTATTAAATGTATTTTCCATATTTTATTTTTATATTATGTATTATTATAGGAAAGAAACTAATTTAATTATTAAGTTTTTAAGATATAAACAAATAAATTTAAAAACATTTAAATTACAATAATAAAGGCAATAAAAATTTTCAGATATTTAATTTTGGTAAAATTAATTATTTAAAGTTTTAAAGAATTTTGATGAATTAATTTCATTTTTAACAATATTTTAATGTTGAAGTAGCTCTGAATAACATGTAGTCTATTGAAACTATCTCTCTCCTTCTCAGCAATATTAATTATATTTGCAGAGTTTTTTCTCTTTATTCAAATGTTTTCAGCCTATTTGGATAGGCCATCCTCAGGTTTTCATTTATCGTTCCATTTTGGAACCATTTGTTCGAATTTTTTTTTTTCATTTGAAATGTGTTAACAACTTTTTGTATATTACATAAATAAACAAAATAAATAAAAATAAATAAATAAAATATGTCACTAAACATGCTACATATTAGCAAAAATTAAATAACAAATTTTACATGCGTCTAAAATATAATAACTTCTTATAACCTCCAGTTCCTATTTTATGGATTATTGAAACCCATACATTTTTCTATTTTGTATTTCCATGCTGTTTATAATGTATTTGCATCCTTTGCATTTAAATAAAATATGTCACTAAACATGCTACATATTAGCAAAAATTAAATAACAAATTTTACATGCGTCTAAAATATAATAACTTCTTATAACCTCCAGTTCCTATTTTATGGATTATTGAAACCCATACATTTTTCTACTTTGTATTTCCATGCTGTTGGTAATGTATTTGCATCCTTTGCATTTAAACAGCAGTTCCTTATTTTACTTTTGTATATCTCTATTTTTTCCATTTCCATGATGGTGAGTGCACCATTCTTATGATCTTCACTTCATCCCATTTCACTATTGCTCCGTCCAACTGTGCCATGCTTGCCAATATCGTGCTATTGAGTCCTTTATTAACACTGTATTTGTGCTCTTATATACGCACTGCAAGGTTTCTTCTGGTCACCCCTACATATTCTTTATTGACTCCTATTTGTTGGTTTTCATACAGGATAGTGTACAACCCCACTTGCTCTTCCATTCTTATTTTGTTCTTATCGTTCCTTAATAATCTATATATGTTGGGTGTTCATTTGTAAATTATATTTGTGCTTTTGTATTTTCCTAGCCCGTCCACTAATTTTCTTTTTTGTTCATTGTATATGAACTTGTTGAATGCAGTTGTGTTGTTATGTGTTGTAATTGTAGTTTTTTGTTTACCATAACTTCTGATAAGGCTTCTGATTGTGGATGTTTTGTATCCTAAACTCCTTGCTACCTTTTGTATTCTATCCATTTCCTTCTTACGGTCTTGCACATTGGTGCAGTACAAGAAGACCCTCTTGATAAGTGCCTTAAATGCAGACAGTTTATATCTATACGGATTCTTCGACCATGAAGGTATGTATAACAGAGCATGTGAAGGTTTTAAATATACTGCTGTTCGTATATTTCCTAGTTTAAATTCCATGTCAATGTCCAAAAAATGGAGTCTTTTTTGGCTTTTTTGTTCCAATTTTGGTTTCAAACCATGACCATTGTTGTTGATTGCAGTTAAGAAATCATTAATACATTTTTGTTGTCTTTCCAAATTATCAATACATCATCCACGTAGCATTTGTATAATATAATGCTTTTGGAGAAATCTTTTAGTTCATTATATAAGAATATTTAAAGATATTCAATAAATACATAATACAGTAGAGTCTCAAACTCGGCACGCGATAACCCGGCAGTCCGGATAACTCGGCCACACCCTGGCAGGGCAAAAAAATCCTTAGTTAATTAATTTTCATTATAGACAGCTTTATGCCTCATAAAGTGTTTTTCTGAGGTCTGTCTTATCAGATAAATTACTGTATACAGTGTATTCATTAATTTTCATTTTCATATAGTAAAGGCTCTATGCCTTCATAAAGGACGTACTTTTCCTTTGTTTAAGGGTATTTGAGCAGTTTATTCTCTGTTGTATTCTCAAGTAAACAATACATAAAAGTACAGTACAGTATTTTCTGAGGAAACACTCATACTTATTTTTTTAACCCCATTTCCGATAATCCGGCATTTTCACAAACTCGGCCACCCTTCGGTCCACATTAGGCCGAGTTTTTGAGACTCTACTGTATTGCGTAATTTTATGTTGTTGCAAAAGTTGGATACTAATTAATATGTACATTAGTTTCTTGATTTACTTTTGATTGATTGATCAGATTGTCTGGTTTGATTGTAACCAGGTTTGGATCCTGAATTACTTTATTTGATCTACTTTTATACATTTTGGGCATAAATTGATGCAATCTGCCCAGCCTATCCCAACTATAACATTTGCTCTAATTTTATAATCTTCTGAAATAAAAATAAAAAAATTAAAATTATTCTACTGGGGGATACGAAAAATTTTATATATTACATTTTTATATTTATTTATTCTTGTTGAATTAAAATAATAAAAAATTATTTTTAATTTAACAAAAAAAGAATGATAAAAATGATTAAATATTTATGTAAATATATATGTAATTATAAAAATTATTTGTTATTTTAAAATTCAGACCCCTTTTTTCCTTAAACTTTTATGTTTAAATATTTTGTTTTGTGTTTGATTGTCTGATGAAACTAAACTTGTTGACAAGTACGTTCAATAAAACAAGAAAAGTTTATTTTGCTGTTTCATTTTCATTTTTATTTTTTTGACATTAAAATTATTTAACATTAAACCATTGTGTTTACAGCAGTTTTACCAGCAATAGAAATATAAATGAAAGTTTTTATATTTTAGAATATTTTAATTTCATTTTATCAGTCATAAGTTTTATTTAATTTTATATACAACATAAAGAATAATTTCAGTGCATTAATATAAAAATTTTGCAGGAGTTTCTTTATTTATTCAATTGAAAATCTTTGTAAACTATTATTATGTTATGTACACACCTGTCCAAAACTTAAGGACTGACAACATTTGTTCATGAATAGAATGAACTGTAGATGAATACAAACAAATATGGCAAGAACTGTATTACTTGTGTATTATTGTGTTAGATGTCAACTTGTAGGATTTGCAAATCAAAGCAATAAAAGTAAGTCTTTGGTGAAAAAGATATACCGTACCTTCCGGCATATAAGACGAGTGGGCATATAAGAATGACCCCCGACTTTTACAGTTAAAATATAGAGTTTGGGATATACTTGTGTGAGAATCGGGGTTTAAGCATCAAAGCTTGAACCGTTTTCCGACAACGGGGCGGTGAGTCCCGCTCACAGGGTCAGTGGATGGCAATTTAGGAGGGCGAAAATCGAGTGGGAGGTCGCGGATAAGTCGATAAGGTGTTGACAGAGTACGAGTAAACACGCATGATTAAGATATAATATAAATTTAATTAGTATATACCATATAAAAGGGTTACAAATACTAAGAATAATAATAATGTCAAAATCAAACCGATATTACAATAGTAGGTTAGTCGGATTATATCTTGGGTATTTCGACTGAGGATAGTCTCTGATCCTCTTTAATATTCTTTTCGCGGAATTAGCCCTAGTCCACCTGAGAGGAAAGAGAGAGTTCTACTTACTAAGTTGTAGTTCGTAGGATCTAACTGTGTCGTCCGTCTTTAGCGGTCAGCGATGAGGATCGTTAATCCGTTAGTTCCTTCTAAGTTGGAGGCCACCCCGATACTGGCCGGGAGCCCTCTTTATACTGATTTCGAGGGGGTGAGAACTATGACGTTATTCATGATTTATCCGCACACCTGCTAGTGTGTTGATATTTGGATCTAGCTAGTTCGGACAATTGACAGAGAAATTTGTTCAATTTATTGATATTGGTGTCAAGATGACATGATTTTATGTTATAAATTTCTGTAGGTTTGATGGCTCTCATCCATAAATTAACAATCATTTGACAATAATTTCTTTAACCTGGTCAACTATTTAGTTATTGTTTATATCAAACGTCGAGTTTGACTATGAACAAGGCGATTTATTGCCGTAACCACGTGTTACGTGCGACCAAGAGGTGATAAGAAATATCTCTTATTCCCTTCTTGTTGATACTAACGTCTATAGAATAACTGTTAAACAAATAGAGATGATTTAACTTATTGATAGTTTAACATTCTCCTTTTTTTTCCTTATTCGAGGAGAGCGTCTCGGTCATTGACCGTAGAAGTCCCCCTTTTCTCTTTTACTCGGAAAATTCCTAGATTTGTACTGATCTAAAACAGAAAAAGAGTTTCGGACCTTCACATCACTCTCCTCTTTCTTAAAAACCACACTACAATTTTTTTTTTTGGAAGATTAGTGTGTGTTTTTACATGATTCTTGGGATTTCGTAACAACTCGTTCGTCTTACGTCATACGAAGATGCTCTGTCTGATCATCCGTTTGGTTCTGGAAACAATGGGAATGTTTGGATCCAGTTAAAACGGTTCAATACGTATTTCTACCCTATATAAATTAATATCGGGTGAATTTTAGCAAAGGGGAACTTGATCCCACTTAAAAATCATTATCATTTGGTTTGAACTCTCTCTCTTCTCTACAGCTGGATGGACAAATTCGAGCATTCGCTCTTGACATGAGTACAAAAGTTGGTGCCGGGAGATGAAAATATAAGGTCCGGGCACATTACAATATCGATAGCAAACTTTTGTTAGTTATCTATATATATATAACATATAATATATAAAATACCTCATAATACTAAATAATTATTCTTGTATATCCAAAAATATTATAAAGAACGCTAAATAAAAAAAAAAGGTTATTCCAGGTTACAACTTGTATGTTTCGCGTAACAAAGGTTAAAAATAAGGTGGTGCCGGGAAAACAGATATATAATGTCCGGGCACTTTTTGTGATTATATTCTTTGAGAATGTCTCACTAGTTATACATTTATCTTCGTCGAGACCCCTTTTTTTTTCTTTTTTTGACTCTTTTTGCCTTTTATTCTTTGTAGCTGGTTACATGTTACTATCGTTTGTTGAGGACTGTAAACGGTTCAATCATATGTTTTTATAGTCCTTCCAAGAAGCATTTACCAATAAGTCTATCTATCGTCGACGGAGGACCTGACGATTCAGTCGCCGTCTTCGAGTGGCTGATTGGGTAACCCGTCTACGAGGAGAGGCTGCTCTCTCCTGGTGGTACTGTTCTGTTTGTAAAGGGGGCGACCCATTCTGGTTACTTGTGTCATTTGGCAACAAGTATGGATCCAAAGTGGCGAATTCCAACGGGATGCTGTGGGGATCTGGTATATGTCGGTGTCCTGGTTCTCTATCGGAAAAGGGGACGATTCCTTGTTGTATTAGTTGCATTAGCTGCACAATTGTAGATACTTGGAGTGTACATTCGATGTTCAAAGTTATAGTATGAGGACGCTCTTGCATTTCCTCTTCTGCTAAGAGGCGTCTCCTTCGTCCGGCGGCATACAAAAGACATGCCTCCTGTAGATTAGTAGGCATCGCTTGGTTGTTGTTATTATTTGGCATTATCTGCAAAAAAGTTATAATACCCATAACAGTTTGTTACCAAAAATATTTCTATATTTAATTAAGGTGTTTCCAGGTTATAGCAGGAGTTAATAGCGGAACCGTCTTCTTCTTTTCGGCAGGGGGGGTGAAGACGCATCTGACGATTCATCCGATTCAGAATCAGACGATGTATCTGTTGTGGTGGAGGTCGGAGGTGTAGTGGAAGGGGAACGTATCTCCTCCACTAGTTTATTCTCCGTCTCCGCGGACGGTGAGGAGCATAAGACTTCCGGAGCAAAAGCGGAGTATTCTTCTGTGTTGTCTCCTTCCACATGTCCGGAGGCCATGTATTGTCCGATTTGTTGAACCCACCGTTGNATATATATATATATATTCACAGGTTTTTGATAGAGAAGGTGATGATGGACGATTTGTTAGTGTTACTGTTAAAGCTACTGACCGTGGTAATCCACCACTAGAAGGTGTATGTTCGTTTAAGGTAGAAATAACTGATATTAATGACAATCCACCGTTATTTGATCGTCAAGAATATAGAGAGAATGTAAAGCAGGATACTCAGAAAGCTACAAATATTCTTCGTGTATCAGCTTCAGATGAGGATGCAGATAACAATGGTGCTATAATTTACAATCTTACTGCTCCATACGACCCATCAGATCTTGATTATTTTGAAATTAACCCAGATTCAGGTTGGATTAGTTTGAAAAAAGCATTAGATGTAAGTGAACTTATATAAATATGTGTTATAGATTATAAGATGTATAACAAATGTTAATATTTAGTGATGCTCATCATCAGTTGAAATACATACATTTTTCACTTATTAGAGAATTGTATCATAAATTTACTACTCATGCTCATATTCAAAGTTTTGTCTATTTTTACCTGTATAAAATTGCTATTTCTTTTGTTCAATATGTTTTCTGTACATGTTTTGAATATAGGAAATATATACTTATTATTCTAGCAGATATGCCCAATCTGCCTGGGCCAAAAGTAAGAACAGCAAATGTTAAAATGGAAACCATATTAAGAGTTTGGTTATTTTAGTCTATCATTAGTTATTGCACGCTTCATTTAATGATAAACATTGTCATGTTTAACACAAAATGAAGTGTGCAATGCCTTACAGCTTATATTTATATTTTGATATTCCAGAGAATTTGTAACCTAGTGAGTTTTTACCATTTTATTGTAAAATTGAAATGAATTTATTCATTAGGTGTTTTTTTTTTACCTCTCCTGAAGAGTTTGTTTTTTGGCATTTACAACATTACGGCATTGCATGCTTCAATATTAAATAAATTATTAACAAGAAAAAAAGAAAATGTAACAAAACAGAATAAAAAACAACAAAGCTCTGATTTGATTTTTCTTTTTTAAAGTAATCTTATCTAAATTCATATAACAAAAATAAAAACAAATGAACAATCAGATTTTGAGGCAAATAGACTAAAGAATCACTCTTGGCACTCTGGAAAACTCCCAATTACTTGTTTTGTTCTTGCTAAGAATATATTATTAAGATGGTACGGAATGGCACAATTTTGCTGGTCAGGTAGACAAGAATTGATGTATTTAAATAGAAAATAGTCATTGACTCTTGCCTGCATGAGAAGACAATTCAAGACTTCTAAATTTTTTAAAATGTTAACTCTAATTTACCTTTTTACAGTGAAATATGAAATGGTAATTGGCCAACCAATCAAATTTCATGAAAAGTGGAACAAATACTTAAACTCCACAGCTTCAAATCTCTAAAATCATATTTTGTGCTTGCTGGTAACTTTATATTAAGTAATTTGTATATTCCACTAGTCTGATAGAAAGGGGGTGGTCTGTTGCAGCCAGGAGGTTGAAGTTAGTTTGATCAAAATTAGTCATGGCTCTCCTGGGTACCTGTAAAGTTTCATTGCATTAGCTCAAAATGTGTTGAAATGTATAAAGAACTAACAGTGTTTTTTTACAAATTAGATTGAAAAAAATATGCATTCATATAATATACAGTCGACCCCCCTATAAGATCATTGATTTTTCCGTTTTATCTGAATTACATGTTGTACGAGTCACTTAGATTTTACAAATATGTGNATTAGATTGAAAAAAATATGCATTCATATAATATATGTAATATTACCATATTTCTAATGAAAATCAAACCTATATAAACTGTAAAAATAATATTTTTTTTCTAGTATTTTCTATTTATTTTCTGGTTTTAATTTGATGTAATCATTAGTACTTTCTCTTAAAAAGACTAAATAAATAATATAAAAAGAACTGTTAATTAGATCAAATAAAAATTGAAAAATAGGAAAAAACATCAGAAATAAGAGAATTTTGAATTTTTTTTTTCTTCCCATTTAATATTTGTTATTTGATAAATGATTTTCATTTTTTATTAATTCTTTTTATATAATAGTTTTTTTTTTTTCACTTACAATGATGATGATGATTTCTGTTGTGATCAATTGTTAATTATAGTCAATGTGGTTTTTATTTGTCAGTAAGATTTGCCAAAGACAAGAGTAAAATTTGCATTACTCTTGTCAAGCTTTAAAATAATTATTTACTTCATATATAATGTTAAAAATTAGTTGTTAATTTAATTATAACACTTTCAAATCCAGTAAGCTGTGAAAAAAATATTTATTTCTTTTATAAATATATTATGTATTAAAAATATATTATTTTCACTCTATACCAAGTGATGCAGTCGGTACACTGCTAGTAAAATACAAAATGCAAAGAATATAAAAATATTAATGCTACTATTTGGATTTGAATTCTTTTTCAATTGAATCCATATTTAAGTTTTTAACTTGTATATTCATATTCTGTCTAATATATATAAAATATGAATTGTATTTCCATGTGGTTCTGTAAGGTGTCAAAATCAAAATTATCTCTCATTTATTCCAAAACATCAAAGGAATGAGTGGTTCCTATTCGGAGAGTTATAAAATCAGCAATAAGTCAACTTACTTAATTTTGTAAAAGTGTGTTGCAAACTGTGTTTTACATATCATTCTGAAATAGAACTTCAGTTTTGTCAATAGTCATTCCACTGCTGGCTGTAAGAGGTCAACTTTATGAAGTAATTTATCAGATTAAAAAAGTTGGTTCATTTATCTTTTATTTTCAAAGTTCTGTTTTGTTTAGTTAGAGACTAAGAATGAGTTTAGTTTAAGTTAATTAAATGGTGAATTAAATACATCGATGAATATTTAGACTTATAACCAATGATAACCTCCTAAACAAATAATTTATAGGCATTGTACATTCATTACATGCCATTAATTAGCCCAAACAACATTTTATCCAATTACAGTGTCTTTTGTTACAATTCTCCAGGCAAGTTTAGGTGTTTCAACTAGTTTGATATAAGATTGTTCAATCATGATGACGACAAATTGAATTAAGATTATTAAATTGTTAACATATTACATATTTAAAATTTTAAATCTTCAAAATTTTAAATATCATATTGTAAGTAAACAGGTAATATGGACATTATTAGTGTTCTTTTATCATTATATAACAACTAAATGTCAATGTATTGTATATAAGAAAACTAAAAATTTGTATAGTTATTTTTCATTATATATCACTTGTATGGATGGCTAAAAACATTTAAATTCTTTAAATAGTTTTATTTAAGTAAATATAACGAGTAATTAATTCGTAAGAGTTATAAGAATTAATAGTATGATGTTCGGTGAGTGTAAAGTTTACAATGTTTTTATCAATATCTTATAATTTGATTCGAGATGCCATACCTCTTCCGTATGAATTGAAAAAATGAAATTTTGCATTCAAACATAAAATTTAACACTTTGAGCTTTGCTCAATTTCCTCTGACATCACAGTATTATGACATTTGGAATTCTTAAATTTATAATTTAAATAAAATAAACTAAATACAGAAAATGAGATTACAATTATACGTTAAAGTTAACAAACCTAGTGAAAAGCAAAAATAAATATCAAAAACAAACATCAAATGGATAATTATTGCAGATATATGAAGAAATAAATTACGAATTTTCTTTATAAATTATCTAGTTAAGTCACATGATGTTCTAGCAATTTCTTTAATTAAATCAAAAGGTTCTTTTGATTTAATTAAAGCAAAGAAATTGCTAGAAAAAAAGAGAGAAAATGTTTTGAAACTTATTGTAGGAAAGTTCTAGTTTACCGTGCATAGAATTGTAGGCATAACAAATAGAACGTTAACAAATTCAAGCAAATCAAATTACCTCCAAGTTATTTTATTTTCATAAAATTGAACTAATAACTATCTACTAGAATAAAGTAAGTTTTAGGACTTTTTTGTTTTGCTTTTGACATTCCTTTTCATTACAAATTTTTGATAACTGTTATGAACATTTCATAAATTAACAACAAAACTCGTGTAAACCGGACTTTCTTGGTACTTAATATATACATTTTTTCTGGTTTGGCAGGTTTCCGTTTTGAACAGTTTTTTTAACACAGAGCATCACTGTTTTGAAGAATTCTTCTCATTTAGGCAGGTTTTCATTTTAAGGTTCCATTTTGAACAGATTTTACTGTACATAAAATTAACAGAATGTAATCTGCATAAAAAATATTTGATACTTTTACAAATTTTATTGCTTTGAATTTTTTCTAAATGAGCTAATGAATTTAAAAATAAATAAATGTAATAATTAAAGCCCATTAAATAAACGCTTTATTTTATTCAGGATTTTTTTTTTTACTTTCATAAAAATTAAATGAATTTTAAATTGAAATTTAAATAATAAAAAAGAAATGTTTTTAAATATTTTTTAAAGCTGGCTTCAGCATTATGTAGAATTTGTTGAACACACAAATGATATTTTTCTAAATTTAAACATTCAAAATAGATTTTCTTTCATTTTTGTAAAAGTGTATTGCTATTTGATGTATTTAAATTTAAAATAATTTTAATAAATGATGATAGTTTAGTCAAATTATTGTATTATTCAAGTATTTCAAATGATATAAATAAATAATAGTTACTATCTGCAGAGGAAATTTTAATCTGTTATGTTTGTTGCACTCATAATATATTTACAGTTTTCATTACTTTTTGTTTTAATTTCTTAAAATATTTAATTTTTAATTTCAAAAATAGTTTCACAAATATTTAATTCTTAATTTCTTCTAATATTTCAGAGAGGTCAATATCATTTAAGAGCTATTGCATTAGATAAAGGTATTCCTCAACATAGAGCAACTGTAGATGTGATTATGCAAGTTGTAGATAGAGCAAATAATCCCCCAGTTTGGGATCAACCAGTTTATGGACCAATTCCAATCAAAGAAAATCTAGAAGTTGGAAGCAAAGTTACTTCAATTAGAGCAAGGTAAATAATTGTTAAATTTACTTTTCTATTCAAGTAAACTAACTTTCAGTAAAATTTATGCTTTTAAATAATAATTAAATTTTAAACAGATATGTTTATTACTTAACCCTTAGCAAGATGGTTTTGTTATCTTTATTTTTCTTTGTTGTTGTTGTTATAGATGATGTATTTAAAACAATTGTGGAATCCTTTATTTTTAATATCTTTGACATATACATTTATAAACATAAATGAAAAAATTACTACAAAAAATATTAAATTATTTTTATTGTTTTAATTCTTTGTAGTTGTCATAATTTTATTTTACTTTTTGTATTAATTTTTTGTATAATGATGTATTTATTGATAGTTTTATTAATCATTTAATTTATATGAAAATTACATTGTTATTTTTAATAATATATATTTAATGTAATTTTCACTATTCTTTATCAAAATATGTTTTAATGTAGCAATTAAAATGGAATGCTTTTAAAGTCATTATTGCAGTTGTTAAACTTAACTATAACTAGGATTTTTCAATTTTATTGATAGTAGGATCAATTATTTACATATGCCAGAATCATGTTGCTATATGCCTATTATAATATGTTATTTTAGAAATAATGAAGCTGCTCTATGAAAATCAAGATGCTATAAGTAGCAGAAATGATTCAAAACTGGATGAATCACAATATTGATTAACTTATGAATAGGATTGTTTATTATGAATTTATTCCTGAATTACAAGTAATCAACATGTTTATCTTTACATTTTATGATGATTATGCAAAGCAGTTCATCTGGAACAATCCTAAAAATAGTGGCAGATGAATTAGATACTTTATCACAAAAATGTCAGATCACCCACAGCAATTACAATCCTTACTTATCTGGCAAGACAAAAATGCTGTTCTTTTACATTTATCTTAAGTCTTTAGAAGCTAAATTGAAAGACCATTCCTTTTTAAAATTTCTTTAAAGTTAAAAAAAAATTGAGTTAATAGAACTCATACAAGATAAATTGAAGAAAATTTTGCAATTCCTGTAAAAGAAGCTGTATGTATTATGACAAAATTTTAAGACTCCTTGCATTTTGGTGGCTAGCAGACAGCCTGAGTAACACAATTGGTTTCATTACAAAAAGTTAATTTCTTGTAGCATAATAAAACTACACAAACAGAAATTATTTATTCATATAATAATGTAAGAAATAGACATAAATGAAAAATATAGTGACAAAATTATAAGACCAAATTTTTTCAATTTTTGTAATTAATTTCTAAATAAGAAGTTGTATTTCAATACCTAGTTTTATTGCTTTTCTGTAAAATAAACTGAAATATTCTGTCTTGCATTGATGAAATGAGCTTTTGAACCTCCAATTGAGCAATTTTGGACCAAGCATTCTTGATGGTGATCTTGAGTGAACTGGTCTCCTGAAATTACCAGCCACCATCATATACCATCTTTGGAGAACTGTGACCAGAAGTTTTCAATTGAATTAAGATAGGAATTCATTAGTAGCCATGCAATGATGTTAAGATTGTGGTATGCAAACCATTTTTGGGTACTTCTAACCAAGTGAATAGTTGTATTTTTTGTTGAAATATCCATCTATTGCCTCCAAGTTCTTCTGTAACTGGGAGGAAAGACTCTTGAATCATTTGCTGGTAGTCTGTAGCTTTCATGTGACCTTTAACAATCACTTTCTAGCCCCTGAAATTGCAACCCAAATCATCGTATATCTACTCCAAGTTGTCACTTCAAGTACATCTCCATTTCTTTCCTACTGTCTCTCCAATATGGTTGATATGCATCCAGTCCATCCTGGTTGAACTTCTTTTCATTGCTGAAGATAAATCATGACCACATTTCAGCCTAGGCCATATGTTGTCTGCTAAACTCTAATTGCTACTCCATATGTCTTGATGTCAAAAGTGTTTGTCCTTTCTTTTGGCATACTGTACATAATCATCTTGAAGACACTGAAAGACAGTTTGTATATGACATGAGTCCAAATCCAGCTTTAATCATATAAGGACTCCTATTTTTCTTTTGTTTTTGGACCACTGTAGATGGATTGGAGAACTGCTGATTTGTCTATTTGTGAGAGATACTGCTTGTCTCCATGCTTCTTAGGAGTACTGGGATTAGTCTTCTGTTGAAGATATTGGGTCACGGCAGTCTGTGACCTCTTAATTTTCTTGGCTTTAGCATAATGAGACCAGCCAGCAGTAACCAGAGCATCAATTTGACCCTTTTCACAGTCACTCAAATTGGTATCACTTTCCATGTTCAATATTTAATCAAACTAATAAATAGTAATTGTGGAACTTGTAAACACTAAAAATTTTACATAACTATGTGCTTACCACCAGTCATACATAGAACTGCAAAGTAAATAGAACCAGAAAGAGGTGGTCTTAAAATTTTGTAATGCTTCATTTTTACTTTTTGCCTGTAATTTTTTTTACAACAATTGCCATCAAGTCATAGAATTATGAAAAAAATATTTTTTATTAAATGAAATTATCTTATTCTAGTTATTTGTAATATTTTAATGTTTGTGTGTGATGCAGCAAACAGCAAGTGGTCTTAAAATTTTGTCATGTAGTTTTTATGTATATAATGCACACACACACACACACACACACACACACTGTAAACATGTTAAGTGTTTAGAAGTTGTGTACTTTTCATAAAATTTTTTCTGCTCATAATCATTTGAAATGTGACTTGAATGTAAATATGAATGAATAACTATCATTTATTGATAAAAAAAATTTTAAAACTATAATATGTAATAATCACAGGGCTTATAAATTATTACATATAAATTCTTTGTATCAATATCTAGTAATTGGAAAATAGGAGTGTGGATAATTGAATATTTTGAAATCCTTATTAAATTTCCAAATTATTAGCAGTAAAATTATAATCTAAGTACCATATATTATGTATGAACATAATTTAGAAAACATAATTGGACAAAAAATTTAAAATTGACATTTTTTTTTGTTTTTAAATTTTAAATATGTAATGATGAGATAGCTAATTGAAATGAGAGTTTATATTGTTTACAAGAACACTGTTATCTTAATTAATTTTAATATTATTTCAAGATCATAATAGTAGAATGGGACCGTGTACAGGGTATCCCGCATAAAATTGCATCACTCACTTGAAATGATTGATCAATTAAGTCAAAGGTTACTTGTTAGAAAGTTTATTTTAACATTATTTAAAGTTTAGAAACTTGCATAAGGACACCAATGATGATATATTATCACTTTCATCAACATCTGTATATGCCTTTTTGTGTCTGAGTAATAATGCTTCTGAAAATGTTTTTATTCAGTTTCCTTATATTTCTGTGATTGGTCTCATCTACATTTTGTTTTTAAATATTTTCAATACAATTCACATCATTAATGTTTCATCAAAATTCTCCTATAAAATTTTCATCCCTAATGTTTCATTATTTCAGTCAGTCTGATTTTAAGTGGGACACCCTGTGTTATAAACATAAGTAAAAATATGAATCAAGTCAAACAGAAAGACGTTTAATTTGTAAGAGAAGTAATTTCCTTAGTTTTTCAGTTAATTTTTTTTTTTTTTTATAAAGCTTATCATTAAATGTAATAGAATGATATCAAAATTTATTTTATTTAAATTATTGTATGTCACAATTGCTATCAAAAGTGATATTGATAATAATTAATATTATTATTATTTTTTTTTTTACATTTAAAATTTAATGGTTTTGGTGTAAATATTTATGTAAAAATTTCATCTAACATTAAAAACTTGCACAATAACTTTCCACTACTGGAATATATTAATTTAAACACATAAAAAAACACCTACACCAGCATACTTCAATTAACACATTTTTACTAATGTTTTCATCTGTTTACAACAAACATCTTCATCTATATACAACAGATCAAAATGGACAAATTAAAATTAAACAAGCTTTTATGAACTACTTACAGATTTAGTTTAAAATTATTTTTCATATGCATTACAAAATGAGTTTAAATTATTTTCCAAAAAAATTACATATTTAATTTAAAATAACTTTTTGAATACCTTACAAAATGAGTTTAAAATGATTTCTTGAACAAATTATATGTTTAGTTTAGTTATTTATGTGAAAAATAATTTTAATCTAGCTTAAATTTTCATTTATGTAGGTCTGTATCCACAGTGCCTAGTGAGAAGTATATGAGAATAGCTTTATGAGAAAAGCTTTGAGAGTTCAAAGAAAGCACACCATGCTGGGGATAGTGTGTCCATTTCTTTGAAATGAATTCCTACTCCAATCTTAAGAACCCTATAAATTTCAATTGACTCCAAGTATTTAATGTGTGTTCTATCAGAAACCCTAATTAAAACACTCACAAAACAATATCTACAGCCTGAGAATAGAATCATGCCACTGGAGATAGAACTGATGGTAATAACATATAATAAGATAATATCTGAAATCTAGAGAACAATTGCGAGAACAACTAATGTTCATTTAGCATATGAGGTCTGTTAAAAAAATACGCAGACTGTTTGAATTGTGTGGCTCCAGTTGGTTTTAGGGGGAATTTGGTTAGACAATCTGTAAAAACCTAGGGAACTAGGTTTGTACAGATTGTCTGGTGATAAAGCTGTTTCCTGATTATAGATATCTTTATTTGTTGATTAGCTACTCGGTTTTTAGTGAAGTGCGATTTTTTTTGTTTGTCGGATTTCAGAATGAATGATCTGATGGAGCAACAACTTGCTGTGAAATTTTGTGTTAAACTTCAAAAATCTGCGACTGAAACATTTGCTACGCTCAACATGGCTTTTGGTGATGTTGCTATGAAGCGTACGGCATGTTTCAAGTGGCATGAACATTTTAAGGGTGGTCGATTGAAGATGATTGATGACAGTTTTCTGTGATGTTAAGGGTGTTGTTCACCAAGAGTACCTCCCTGAAGACTCCACAGTAAACCAGACTTACTACATTGAAGTTCTGAAATGTCTGAGGGACGCCATCCATCGCAAAAGGCCAGAAATGTGGAGGAGTGGCGACTGGTTTTTCCATCATGACAATGTTCCAGCCCATTCAGCCCTCAGAATTCTTGAGTTTTTGGCCAAACACTCAATCACTGTTCTTCCCCATCTCTCTACTCACCTGACCTTGCTCCTTGTGACTTTTTCTTATTCCCCAAACTCAAAAGACCCTTGAAAGGAAGAAGATTTGAGACAATTCCTGAGATTAAGACAAATGCAACAAAGGCACTGAAGGACATTACAAAAGAAGCGTACCAGGACTGTTTCAACAAGTGGAAACACTGTTGGGATAAGTGTGTGCATTGGGAAGGAGAGTACTTTGAAGGAGATCCAGACATATAACTTCTACATAAAGTACATTTTGTTTTATGACGTTAGTCCACATATTTTTTGAACAGACCTCGTATCGACATTCAGCAATGATTTTTTTACTTATCATAAATTATAAGACCTTTATATCTGACACTTACTGGTACTGCATAAATACAGAGTCAGTGTGTTATGGTAGAATTAACCACACATTATTATATATTTGTGCGACTGTGAGGGGTTTCACTATGAGAATAAGAGAGCACTAATATACAATCGAAAATAAACTTTCATTCACAACCTTAGCCATTTATGCCAGATGTGAAGATATACATGTTGAACTACTGGACACAAGATTGTTAGTGTTTCTGGTAGGGCACATCTTAAATACCAGGAGTCAATTGAAATATATAGGGCCTTTAAGAATGGAGTAGGAATTTATTTCAAAGAAATGGACACACTATTCCCAGCAAGATGTGCTTTCTTTGAACTCTCATAAAGCTTTTCTCATATACTTCTCACTAGGCATTGTGGATACGAACCTACATAAATGAAAATTTAAGCTAGATTAAAATTATTTTTCACATAAATAACTAAGCTAAACATATAATCTGTTTGAGAAATCATTTTAAACTCATTTTGTAAGTTATTCAAAAGTAATGTTAAACTGTAGACATAATTTGTTTGGGAAATAATTTAAAACTGAATATGTAATTAGTTCGTAAAAGCTTGTTCAATTTTGTTTATTTTGTTCTACGTTGTATATACCTGAAGATTTCTGTTGTAAACAGATGAAAACATATTAAAATGTGATAATTGAAGTATTCTGGTGTAGGTGTTTTGCATGTGTTTATTGAAAAATTAAATTGTGTATGTTTTTTTAATCATGAAACTTAAAAATTTGTTTGTATTGATTTTGAAATTAAAAATTATTAATAAATTATTTTCTTTTTATTTTAGATCAGGGATCCCAGATAGTCCTACTGTGTTTTACTCTTTAATGAAAGGTGGAACAGAACAGACAAACAAGAGAGATACTTTTTATTTAAAAGAAAGATCAGAAAATGGAAATACTTGGGCTGATATTTTTGTAAATTATCCATTGGATTATGAAAGAATACAGCAATATAATTTAACAGTCAGAGTAGAGGTAAATAAATTGTTTTTAATGAATTACATTGATAATGAAAATATATCATTATCAATTATACATTATTTTATATGTATTATTAATACAAATAATTGCAAATTTACAATACAAATAATTGATATTACAAATAATGTCAAATTTAAGGAAATTGTATATTTTCATTCATACAAAATTTTCAAAACATTTTAGAACAGTGTATAACAGTGATTTCCAAACTTTTCAAGCTTTTTCTTGGTTCTATAAAGCTCCTAATGCTCCTAACTCATTTTTCCTTGTGTGAGAAAGGCTTGGAAATATTCTTAGGGAAACTTTTCTATGAACCTCACTCTTTGTGTTGTTACAAAACATTGTTCTCAACACCTGGAACTATTAAACTCAATGTTTTTTTCCATTTTAACAGAGGAAAGGGAAAGGTTGTCAGTGACCCCCAACCTTTGCCTATAGTCATTGTTCAGTACTCTGCCTCCAGCACCCCCTGCTGCCCACTTGCTTCTATTTACCTTCCTAGATTTACTCACTACCCACAGGGAGGGCAGTAGCATCCACTTTGGGAACCACTGGTGTATAATGTTTATTTTTAAAGTTTGATTTATAATTTTGAAATAAATATTTAACTTAATATTGTTTATTTCTAACATTATATACATTTTAATGTTGTAGATTAATTGAATGCATGTGAAAGCATTATGTACTGTTATACTTTCAGTTAAAGTGCACATTGAGATGCAAACACAGTGCCTAACACATGCACAGTGTAGTAAACAACTGCATGCCACATGACAGATAGCAGAGCAGGTTCATATGCACATTGGCAGGCAGTTTTGTGATGTTTGCAGAATTCTGAGTGTTGTGGAGCTAGTAAATTATTATGGAAGCACTTTTGAATCAGATACATGCACAAGAATCTATAACTCAGTTTGCATGCAGCTACTAAAAAGCATTGAATACAAAACCTGTGTTATTCTGCTTTGTGCTGCCTGTGTCACTTGCTTAATATGCTTATAAAAGTTGAGTAAAAAATGTCTAGATTAATTAATTGATTAAATATTATATACATTGTGTCATATATGTGAGAATACGAAGAGTGTAAGACCCTTTCGTTGTCAGGGCTATTAGTCCTGCTCACCCTGTCACTGGATGGCGTTAAATATAGTTTGTATCGTCTGGACCTCTCGATCCATTTGACTTGTCAGGACTGACACCAGCTAGGATAGAAGTTTTGTGCCCTAACTCACAATGTTATGATCTAGATGTAAACGGAGGGCTCTATTCTATCGAGCGGGGTGGAGTTGCGGGTAAGTTCCGACCACATCAGGGTGTTTGGTTCAAATTGAATGAGCCATTTACAAACATATAACATTTAATACATAAACAACAAAACAGTATAAAGTATACAAATGACAAAATGAAATAAGCTATTACTGAAATAAATGGGATTCACCTCAACTTCACTTTAAATGCTGAGTGAGAGAAAGTTTACATAAGTTTATGTAACAATACCTCTGATCTGTGACCTCTAGGTAAGGAGATGGAGTAGGGCAAGATGGAACTTCTAGGCCTGACTGCTGCTTCTGATGGCTGTCCTCTTTTCTATGATCTGCTTCTCTATGACCGTTGTGGATTATGGTCATCCCTTCTCTATGGCAGTTTCTGTTGTATATGGCAAGTTCTTTGGAACCATGGGCTGCCTCAAATAAGGGGAATTTACCCTTTTTATAGAAAAATTCCTGTAATAACTCTCTGCAATTTGCATTATCTGACGGGATGAACTGATGTCTAACAGGATATTCCACCTGACTCAGATGACAGGTGTTCTGCAGAGATGTGTGATAAGATCTTATAAAAAGGAAGTTTTACATCCCTTCAGCATAAGTCTCTTCCAAATAAGGTGATAAGTGTGTCATTGTAACGTTAAATTATTACTTTAAATTATTGATTATTTTATCAAATTTATAACTCATAAAACAAAATAATTTGTTATTCTTGAATCCTCACATATACACAGTGTATATAATATTTCATCTACTTCGAAATTATGATAGTGAAATCGCGATTAACGTCATTTGAATATTAGATATTGCTACCTAACAGATGTGTTTACAATCCCAAGACCCTTCAAATAGACATCTATTATATTTACCTCTAATTAGCGGATGCTGTCATCCATACCAATCTTTCGAAAACACAACATCCAGCCTTCAATATTCTGAAACAATATTCTGAAATAATTAATTATATATGAAATATTTAAAACAAAAAGAATAGGTTCCAATACTCTTTCAGATGATGAATTTTGACTATAGGCATGACTGTAAATAGGAATAGATGAGGAGGGCAGGTTGTAAAATGCTGAACAATACTCTTTATCTGTTAGAGAAGACTAATCTGCTTAAGTTGTCAATTGTCACTTATCTTTATACATGTTAATTAGGGTTTCTCATTTCCCGGGAAATTTGCCTCCAGCGGGATTACGGGAAAAATAATTTCTTTTCCCGGGATCCCGGGAAATTCCGGGATGAGATAGTAAAATAGAATTTTATATGAATAAAAAAGATCATACATGAATATCATAAATTTGAATAATTTAATTTATTTTCTAGTAAGTAACTAAAAGTGTAGGGCCAATCTCACCCATATGGACACGTTAGGCTCAATTAATTTAGGTTCTCCTACATTATAAGATGAAAGTAAAATAAAGTGTTTCATTGGGAGTTTTAATGATTACGAAAAAAATACTATTTTACTTCTAAAGATGAAATAAAAAATAAACTAAAGTGCGATGAGTGATATTTACTTTCAGCAAGTCTCCGCTGTTCAATGATGCGCAAACACAATATATAGGTATTACATGAACTAACAAGTAGAGACTTGTAAAACATAGGTAATAATATGCAGCAAGAAACCTCAAAATTTCTCTCTTAGGTGAGTCTTCAAGATGCAACTTTTCGTATAATAAATACTAGAAAGAAAACCTGACATGGTAAATTATTATTGAAATGCGAGATTTCCCGGGAAAATAAAATTTACCGGGATTTTTCTCGTAGGGAATAAACGGCAAGAATTCCGGGAAAACGGGATTCCAGGAAAGAAATCCTAATGTTAATGTTATTAAACTTCTGTTATTGTTGAAATGAAGCTTATGGTACCAAGAAATCATAAACTTTTCCTGTTTACCATTCATTTTCTATACTGCTATCCTGATGTGCTGTGGAGTAGCGACTGTTTTTGACTATCAATTTATGTATGGTAAACTTATTTGTGCATGGAACTTAACATTTAGCATATGGTATTTATAATTTTAAAACTTATTTCCTTAGTTTAATTATGTATCCACTTATACTTTTTGGTATATTTACATTCCTAATGTAAATTTGATATTTTCATAATGCATTGTATTCTTTACTATATGATGACCATATTAAAATATAGTATAGCCATCAGCATGTTCCTCCAAATAGCAGACAAATTTCTTGGTTCTAATAGTGTCCACTATTTGGAGGTTATACAGTACTGTATTGGCAATTAAGTAGGTATGAATATATGCAGTGTAATTATTATTAAAGCTTTATATTTTTTTTTAATATTCATTTTGTATAAAAACTAACTTCAATATTTTTTTTAGAGTTAAGAATGTTAAATAAATGTGAATGATAAAATTTTGATTTTCATTAAGTATATCAGTACAACAATTTACATTATAGTTTCACTAATATGATTATGCATTTTTTTCTATCAAATGAGTGCATAAACTGATATTTTTATAATTTATATTTTTTTTACTGTATTTATAGAATAATGGTGCAAGACAGTTAGCCTCTGAAGCAACTGTATATATTGTATTAGAGGATGTAAATGATGAAATACCTCTTTTTATTGAACAAGAACAAGAAACTGTTTTAGAAGGCATGCCACCTGGAACTAAAGTCACACAGATTCAGGCAGTTGATAAAGATGGAACATATCCAAATAATAAGGTATGCTATTTATTATAAAATATTTTAGTAAAAGTTTTAAAATATTTAAAGAAACAGATATATAAAATATGTAATAAAACAAAATAATTGAAGGGAAAAAGTAATTGTAAAAAGTTCTTCCTGGAGAAACTAAGTTCCTGGCTCTGACACTATATTAAGATAGTGCTTTCATAAAACAACAACTAAACATATGGAATTAAAGAATATTCTATATAAATGCATGGAAATGATTTGTTTAAATATAAAGTTTTTATTTACTTAAATAAAACTTTCTAAAAAACAGTTATGAGCATACTCAAATTGGCTCAAATAAACTTTTTGATAGATGAATGTTGTGTGTGAAAATAGTAACTTTAAGAATTAAAAAAATTATTGTTGTTACTCATTAATATGTAAATTGTAAGATTGTAAACTGAAGAAAGTGATCTATATATCATTCCCAAAATGTTTCTAATATTGCATCATAACTTTCAGCCAAATTTTATTTTAAATTAAAAAGTTCTTAAATTAAAATAATTTAGCTGATTTAAAATTTTTTTATAATTTTTTAGGAAGATAAATAAACTTACACTTTAAAAAGTTTATACAGTAGTCTCTGTAATCTGACATATATTGGACTGGTGGGTTTTGGATTACTGAATTTTGTATGTACAGTAAAAAAATGCACTTTGTTCACAGATTAGTTTATCATATTAATCATGATTGTGACTGGTTTGCTGACCACACGTGCAACAAACAACTAGTGACTGACAGTATACACATACATCAGTCTCTCTCTGTGTTATACATTAACAAGTGGTAGCACGAAAACTTCATGTGCACTGTCCTGTGGCGTGTCTGATTACTGGATGTGTCAAACTAGCGTGTGACAGACTTCAGAGACATTACTGAATATTACAGGAAGTTTAACATGAAATAATTATATATTTCTCATTCGAAAAATACATCCATTTTATGTTTTATTTTCAATTATTTTATAATTTGTACTTATAATTTAATAGAATAATTTCTGTTGTTATTTTAAGGTTTATTATGGAATTGAACCAAAAGATGGTGGTAATAAATACTTCAGAATTGACAAAGAGACTGGAGAAATATTTACAAGAATGGAATTTGATAGAGAAGAGAAACAAGCATATGTAATATTAGTAAAAGCAGAAGATGGGAATCCTTCTGACCGTCCAAATATGAAACCAGGAGAACCAAATTCTGGTATGTACTATATTCATATTTATTTTATTATAGAGTTGGCCAATAAGTCTGTGGTGTTTTTGGTGACAGATGGTTGTAAACATTATGAGGTTTGTTCAAAAAAAAGAGTAGACTTTTGTCATAGCGTGCGAACCATTGCACCAATTGAACTATGGCAAGTGATGCCACAAAGCTGGAAACTTTGGTAACACAACATCACTTGCACACTGTAGTACTCTGATCGGTTGGAGATCTAGAGCTGTTGAAGTAAATGCGTGCAGTCACCATTCTGCAAAGTGAAGATGAAAGAATTTAAGGAGCAACATGTTTGGGTGAAATTTTACTTTGCTTCAGCAGGCTTATGAGGAGGACTGTATGAGCCATTTGCAGTGTCCTGTATGATTTAAGCATTTTAAATCTGGCAGAACATTGATTGAGGAAGATTCAAGATCAGGATGATTGATGGTTGTTTTTTTTTTAATTATTGAGGACTAGTTCATCATGAATTTGTGCCGCAAGGTCAGACTGTTAACAAGGAGTTCTACATAGAAGTTTTAAGGCATTTGAGAGAAGATGTGTACCAGAAGAAGCCTGAGCCATGGGAAAACAAGAGCTGGGTGTTTTGCATCATAACATGTCATGTCACATGTTTTCTGCTTGTCAGCCAATTTTTGGTGCTAAAAATATGGCCATCCTTTTCCACCCTTGTATTCTATAGACTTGACCCTTGCATACTTTTAAGGAGATTCAACAAAATTTGCAGAGACAGATACATGCCATCTCACAAAACAAGTTCCACAAAGCATTCCATCAGTGACAAAAACAATGGGAACAGTGCATTGGAAGCAGGGGGAGTACTTTGAAGGGGACAAAAACGTGCATAATATTGCAATCATGGTAATAGTTTGTATGATAAAAGTCCAGCCTTTTTTTTATCAGACTTTGTATGAAAAGCAACAAACTGCAGTTTAAATTTTGAAAGCATATAACCATTTGAAATTGATATTTCAATGTTCATTTTAAAAAAAATGTTAAGATGTGATTGTGTTTTGTCTTTGACATCAGTTGAAAGATGGTTAAGCAAAATTAGCAGTATTTGCATGTTGTTTTTTTATTTATTTATTTATTTTAAAAAAGGCAAAACATGGAGCAAGCCTGTAAAAAGATGTATGATGTTTATGGCAAGGATGTCTTGAAAGAATATATATGCCATAAATGGTTTGTGGGATTTTGTTCTGGTGATTTTTCTGTCCTAGACAAACCACACTCAGGCCAGCCACAAGAGTTTGGTTTTATTTGATTACAGCAACATGACACATGGGCGATCTGCTGAGGAAGGGAATGCCTCCGGGAGGTCTTTTATGGGGAACTTAACCCTATTTAGGTGTTACTAATGTGAACAAAACTCAGAAAACTCCATGGCTAGCCTGTAGGCAAGGCACAAACCCACAACCACTACCAGCATTCAACTGTTTTATCCACTCAGCCACTGATGGGGCCCCCAGCCGCAAGTGATTGATACCAACAAAATGAAGGAGCTAATTAATGCCAATCCACACTATACGACATGGGAGATTACAGGCATTTTCTAAATATCGAAATTGATTATCAAAAGCTATCTACATAAACTTGGCTGTGTCAGCAAACTTTGTTTTGGTTCCACTTGAATTGACTTAAACAAATCTCCTAGAATTCATTTCCATTAACAATTCACTAAGAAAATATGAGGAAAAAAAGCTCCATTTCTCAAGCAAATGATAGCAAGCAATGAAAAATGGATTATGTACAACATTGAACACAAATGATCATGGGGGCTGCATGAAAAACTACCACTTCAAAGGCAGGACTTCACCCAAACAAGGTCATGCTCTCAGTTTGGTGGGACTGGAAAGGTGTTGTTCTATAAGCTGCTTCTGAAGAACATAACAATCATTTCAGATATGTACTGTGGCCAACTGGACAAATTGAATGTAGTGATCCACAAGAAATATCCAAAATTGGTAAACCAGGACATCGTCATCCTTCATAACACCAGACCTTACTTAATTAATTAACTTTGCAAACATAACAAAAATTATTTGAGCTGGACTGGGAGATCTTTCACAACCTCCTTATTCAACAGATATTGCCCCCTCTGATTTTTGCCTGTATTGTTCTCTTCAAAATTTTTTAAATGGACTATGCTTTGTTTCCAAGGGAGAGTTAACAAATAGCATTTTTGGAACAGTTTTTGTCAAGAAAGACAGGAAAGTTCTTTGAGCAGGGAATTATGGAGCTACCCAAAAGATGGCAAAAAGTTGTAAATCAAAATAGCCTCTACATTACTAAATAGTTAGTTATTACTTTTTCTGAAAAAGTTTTCTTTAATTTACACCTTAAAATGCAGTCCTATTGGTCAAGTCTATAATATTTTTCAAACTAAATTGCAAGCATATTATTTTAGTTAAGAAAAAATGAGAATGTTTCCTATTTTTATTTGTTACTAATATTAAAAGTTAAATCTGACTATCTAATTGAAGTTATTCTAATATCATATCTAATAAATTTGAACTTCCATATTCTGAGGTTCTGTATTACAAATTTTCCTATCAATGAATTTTTGTAAGATATTGAAAATATATTTGTTTTTAAAAATAGCTGTCTAACAAATATTAAATCATTTTTTTTTTAAATATAAAATAATAGCTTTATTGTATTTGTAAAAACAGCTTCATAAAGCAATTTTTTTGTAAGCCAGACAAATAAAACAAATTTATTTTTGTATTGCTAAATGTTAAAATTGGTTGAAATAATGACTATGTAATTGATATCAGCCAATGGGCATCATGTTATAGTACATGTACTGCACTATTAATGAACTGAAAACATTTTCTGTGGATAATTTTAAAAATGTCCACAGATAATGTTTTTGAATAAGTTTATAACGATGCTCCAGTGAATATTTTAAAGGTAACTGTTCACTTTTTGTTCAAAATTATCAGGCCAAAATGGACACAACATTCCTTCCACATTCTTTCTATTTGCCTGACCTTGCGCTTTGTGATTTTTACTTTTAAAGAGTAAGGCACTGTTAAAGGGGCAACATTTCTGTAATGAAAATGCTGCAAGAGATGTTATGGAACAGGTCAGAACTAAAAAAGGATTCCAGAAATGTTTTGAATAGTTGTACAAGCACTTGTAGAAGTATGGCTGTGGATGGACAGTACTTTAAATTTGGCTGTTTTAAACGTGTTGAAATGTTTTAATATCAATAAATTTGGCAATACAGTACCAATCCAGAACTTTTTGAATGTACCACATAAATCTAATTATTTTAGATAATGATAATTAACATGAATGTTTGTGATAAATTAGAAATTGTCACTGCAGAAAATTTTTAAGGTCGATAGAACATGAACATTTACTAGAATAGTGTGCGCTTTCTTAGTATGTATTTATTTATGCAATTATTCCTCAATTAAATTAAAAATTATTATTTTTTGATAATCAATAATCATAAGTTTAAAATTATTATGTAAATTGACAAAAATGGTAATTGATGGATGATCAACGATCGTGTTTCTTCTCTTCTTGAAGTGATGAATAACAACACCTCTGCTGTTGTAATAGAATAATAGTGCAGATTAATGAAATTTCATTTAATAACATGTGTTGTGAATATATTTAAACACTGTTATATCTTTTAGAGTGATAAAGTAGCATTGTTTAATTCATAGTTTATAGCATAGTTTAGTAGTAATAGTGTTGTTTAATGAGAATTTGCAAATGTCATTAGTAATGACTTAATGCATATGTGTGAATTCAGCTTAGGCCAGAAAAAATTTATTTACATATAAGTTAGACAAATATGTGCTGATATTTATATAGTTGTTAATTACTAGTTAAGTCATTAGTCTAGTTGTTAAATTTTAGTTATTTATGTATGTTTTTTAAGTTTAATTAATGTCATTTTTAAATATTACAAATAATTCAAATATAAGATTTTTAATATAAAATTACATTTGACATATTTTTATATTCTATGCCAAAATATTGATTGTTAGGTTTATGAATTATGTTGCAATTGAAGTGTTTAGAAATTTTAAATTTTTTGTTGTTCAAATAGTAGTAGTAGCATTTATTTATTGGGTTGCAATTTGAAAAAATTGTAGACCTATAAATTCCCACTGTCATCTGTCTGTCCTTCCTTAATCTTGAGAATAGTGTTAGATAAAAGTTGAGACCAGATACGGAAAGCTTAGGGGCAGGAAGCCTTGATTGATCAACTATATAAGATTGTCTGGTCTAGACCAGAAGTCACATGATTTCAATTTAAAAATTTTTCCCAGAATGGAGTTACATACATAGATTAATGGCATGACACTATCATTATCAGGAAAAGAATGATGTACAGGGGCAAGACACTACTAATTTGAGAACAAGAGGATATATTTTAAATTAAGTAAATTAAAAATATGATTAAAAATTGCAACCTCGCATTGTGAAAATGTTGCAATAATTTTTGCATGTTTATTTTTTACATTTGTTTTACAATGTTGGTTAATTCTAACAATGAGATATAATAGTTCAAAAACATTTTATCAAATAATCAAATGAACTGACTTCTTAAAAATTATTAGCATTACTGATTCTACATACTATACTACATATTATGATTTGATTATTTCATATAAAATGCATTCATAACACCTTACTATTAATATAGGTACAAATATATTTTTGTAGAGAATAAAACATCATTACACAGTTTATTGTGTTTTCTTTTTACTTAGTGCATTTCCTACTTAATGGATTTTTTCTGTATACCTCATATTGAATTCTCCTCTGAAGTTTTCAGAGCCAATTTATTGTGGAAGTTCAACTGTATATCCCAAATACATTTGGAAGATAGTAAATGTAATATTAGAAGATAAATGAAGTTGAGAATTATTTTTATCAAATACAGTGGTGCCTCGTATAACGTACGCCTCGAATAACAGACGCTGCGAACAACGGACTTTCCGTTTGGCAGTTACGTGAGGTGAATAACGGACTTTCTGCGAACAAGTGTGAATGACGTTTCCGCTCTTTTGCCGTTGCCAATGACAATCTGCTATTTTTATAATATATTAGTATTATTACAATATATTATTAGTATATCTGAAGTACAGAGCTCCCGTTGGGATTCGGCTTGCTCCCTTGTTTATTACATACATTACTTCAGTGCATTTACATTTATTCAAGTATTNGTTACGTGAGGTGAACAACAAACTTTCTGCGAACAAGTGTGAATGACGTTTCCGCTCTTTTGCCATTGCCAATGACAATCTGCTATTTTTATAATATATTAGTATTATTACAATATATTATTAGTATATCTGAAGTACAGAGCTCCCGTTGGGATTCGGCTTGCTCCCTTGTTTATTACATACATTACTTCAGTGCATTTACATTTATTCAAGTATTGTGCAAATCATGGCTTCTAAAAAAACAAAGGTAATTTCAATTTTAATAAAGCAGGAAATCATCAGAAGGAGTGAAAGTTGACACCGACTTCCTTGTCAAATGGGGAGAGGTTCGGGAGTTTACAAACACTCACTATCCAAACACAGCTGAGGTCAACAGGCTCAATGATCTCTACAATGACACCCTTGCCCGTCATTTCTGACAGGTGTTGAAGAAGAGAGAGAAACAGACCACCTTGGACATGTTTTTCAAGAAGCCAGCAGGCAAAAAACAAAGGATGGAACAAGAGGAGTTGACCCTGCAAGCTCTGATAGCCTCTCCTGAATCTGACTCAGATTAAAAAATGATAAAAAGAGGCCTGCTGCAATGTGTAAAAAGTCTGTATCTGTATGAATGTGTGAAGAAAGTGTTCCTCCACCTCCTCCTCACAACATCTGACTACCCGGCATAATTGGTGACTGCTTCATTTTCATTTTTTTAATGGTACAGTATGGTTATTTTATGCTGCGAAATGAATTATATATTTTAACATGTATTTCTATGGGAAAATGCGTTTCGTATAATGGACTTTTCACTTAACGGATGTGCACCTGGAACGGATTAAGTACGTTATACAAGGCACCACTGTATAAAATAATTGAAAAATCAATTAAGTATTGATGTTGTGTTGTATTTGTAATGATCACTGAATAGAAATATGTGCACTTCAAATCTGCTTGTTCAGGAGATGAAAGCAACTTTTGGAAATGTTTTTAATTCATCATGAATCAACTTCTGCCACAAATCATTTGAAATCAAATACAGTATATAATTTTCAATGGAAGATGGAATAAAACAGA